ATGTCAAAATGAAAACCTTTTCAGGAAACGCTGGTTTTGACACATTTTTCAAATTGGCTGCTTTTTTTTTTTTTGACACCGCTCCAATGAAAATGATACAGGAAATCTCTTGCTATACACTAATTTAAAAAAAAAATGTAATGTATATGTAGCCCAAGGTCCAGTGTGTTTCAGCAGCAGCCCTGGGAACTACAAGTTGTGGACTACAAACTGCGGCATGTTGGGAGAACTTCCTGGTTCCTTCTAGGATGTGCCCTCTGCCCCCAGCAGGGTCTCAGCAAGGACTGTGCTAGAAGCAGCACACAGGCTGCATGCTGAGAGAAGGGGGCTGCTGAACTGTTTTCCTGTTCTATGTTTTTTACAGAATAAAGCCTGTTCCTGGTGATTTGTTGGAGTGGGTCTGGTCTGAGGTGCGCACGCGCGCACGCAGAGCACACCAAGCAGCCTCAGGCCTAGCCCTCCCCCCACAGTGGTGTAAGAAGTCACAAGCTTCCCCTATGCTGAATAACCTCACACTGGGCTAGCCAACAGGAGGGGTTACATTTTTTTTTAGTTACTGGTGCCGTGACTCGGATAGGGGAAGTTTGATTAGTTTGCAGAGAGTTAGGAATCTGCCACACCAGAACAGCATGAACTCACAGTTTGGAGCCCAGGGGGATTGGTATGACCCGGGGTTGGTGCCAGTGAAAGTAGAGACCCCTAATGGGTGTCGTGGCCTAGAGATCCCTGTGGCTAAGGATATAGCTGTTAGAGGGGAAACCTTAGGGAAGAGCATAGCAGTGCCATATCTCCCTGCACAGCACCAAATCCGTGGGGTGCCTGTTTTCAGTGGTGGTACAGATTGCAGAGTAGACATTGAGGACTGGATAAAAGATATAGAGTATCTGCTAGCAGCCACTGGCATTCCCTCCCTGCCACTTGCATTCCTGAGCCTCTGAAGTTCCCCACCCTTGTCAGATACCTAAGTGGGGGAGCCCGTAAATTAGTCCTTAATCTGCCGCCTCAGGAGCAGTTTCCAGCCCGAGCTGCTGAAGAGCTTAGTGCAGAATACAGTGACTGTCATTTATCATTGGACTCCTTGGCAGACTTTTATGAGCGATGCCAACGCCCTAGAGAAACAGCCTCAGCCTATGCCATCGAGTTAGAAGCCTTACTGTGGGTAGTAGAGGAGAAGCTCCAACAGGGCTGATCCTTCCCTGATCGGGACTATAAACTGACACAACAGTTCATGCGGGGCATCTGGGACCGAGATGTGTGGAACAGGTTGGCACCTACGCAGCCTCGCTACATGACATTCCAACAGTTGCAAGAAGAACTGTGTCAGTTGGCCCGGGAGAGGAATGTAGAGGGTAGAATGCATGGGCCAGCCCAGAGGATAAATAGCCTGCAACAAGCTGCCCCGTCAGATGATGCTGTGCAGGCTGCTGTGCAGGCTGCCCCTGAGGTACCTCCACCCAGCAGTACCCCGCATCAGGCAATGCTGGAGACAATGAAGGGCCTAACTGGACTAGTCCAGGAACTGACTGCCCTCCAGAAACAGAGCCATGTGAGAATGGGACAGCTGGAGGCACAGGTATTGCAGCAAGGTGTAGCAATGAGGGCAGCACCTCAAAATTCTAGATGGGAAAGTGAGGGAAGTACCCCTGACAACAGTGCCCGTGTCACCAGAGGCCGTTTTGTATGCCACCGTTGTGGACAAGAAGGCCACATAGCCCGTGGCTGCCGTCAACTCTCTCAGGCTCCCTCCTCTTTAAACTGCTAAAGCCTGACACTGAGGGGCAAGTGAAGGGCACAGAGTTGGTGAGAAGTTCCCCAATAGCATCAGTGTGCACAACGTCCCAGTGTACCCGACCATCTGCCAGCTGGCCTCCCAGCCTGGTGGGGCCCTTGACCGAGGAAATTGTGGAAGTGAATGGTAT